ACGACCAAGTTTCCCAACGCATCCTGCAAGGGTCCCACATTACCTGGGACCTTCTTTTTACCCCCTGTGTATTTAAAAAAAGACTTCTTATTGTCCTTAATCTGGGAAGCTAGACCCAGTTCCACCTCTGCCTTGGCCTTCCTAACTACCCCCCAAGGAGGTGCAAGGTAGGTTTGTTCATAGGCAAACAAAGGTGAATGACTAACCTTTAACACTTGGTATTTTTTTGCAGATCAAAAGAAGGAGGAGACTATGCCCTCAGAGGGAGAGAAATCTCCCGAGGAGCCAGAAAATAACAACAACAATAATAAAAAAGGCAAAACTGGAGGCTCTCAGGTAATGCATGTGCATGCGTGCTTACACCGAAATGGGGAAGTGCCCCACACTCTACTAACATTTCAAATGTAACATGCAGTTAAGCTGCACTTCCTGCTCCAGGCATCTTTCTTTGGGGTGGGTGAAATGCTTTGCTGCTTGGACTTGGTTTTTTGACTGGATTTTACAGTGACCTGCTCCTTGCTTTGTATTGAGGAGTTTGTAAGGGAGTGACTGGATGGAGGGAGAAATATTTTGGCTGTAGTCTAATTTATTGGCAATCAGTGACCTTGTGTTTAAAACTCATGTGAGGAGTTAAGAATATACTTCCCCATTCAGTAGCGCAGGATCTGTGTAGTAAAACACTTTGAATGTTTTTGGTTTTTTTGTGCTTCCTTGGTAAATTTGGGTAGTTGAACTGTCAGAAATAACTTCAACTCATGCTCATCTAAATCTGCTGATATTTTCTCTCTTTGTGGGTAGGATTCTCAACCTTCACCTCTGGCTTTGCTAGCAGCCACTTGCAGCAAAATAGGGACACCTGGTGAGAATCAAGCAACTGGACAGCAGCAGATTATTATAGATCCAAGCCAAGGTTTGGTGCAGCTTCCAAATCAACCACAACAGTTAGAATTAGTAACAACTCAGCTTTCTGGAAACGCTTGGCAGCTTGTAGCTGCTGCTCCTTCTGCTTCAAAAGAAAATAATGTTACTCAGCAAGGATCTTCTGTCACTTCAAGCGCACCAAGTCCTACCAGTAGCAACAATGGAAATACGTCTCCTTCAAAAACTAAATCGGGCAATTCTTCAACAGCCCCAGGACAATTTCAAGTTATTCAGGTGCAGAATCCAAGTGGTAGCGTCCAGTATCAAGTGATCCCACAGATTCAGACAACAGAAAGTCAACAAGTTCAAGTCAATCCTGCTAATGCTACAAATCTGCAAGACTTACAGGGTCAAATTCAACTCATCCCTGCAGGGAATAATCAAGCTCTTCTCTCAGCTGCAAATAGGACAGCTTCAGGGAATGTTATTGCTCAAAACCTAGCAAATCAGACAGTTCCAGTCCAAATTAGGCCTGGTGTTTCTATACCACTGCAGCTGCAGACTATCCCTGGTACTCAGGCACAAGTTGTAACAACCTTGCCTATAAACATTGGAGGAGTAACTCTAGCATTGCCTGTGATAAACAACGTGGCTGCTGGGGGAAGTTCTGGACAGGTTGGACAGCCGACTGAGAGCGGGGTTTCCAATGGAAATCAGTTGGTGTCTACTACACCTGTTACTACTGCCTCTGCTAGTACTATGCCAGAATCACCTTCCTCCTCTTCCATCTCTACAACCACTGCCTCAACATCTCTGACTAGCAGTGACACTTTAGTAAGCTCTGTAGAAACAGGCCAGTTTTCAAGCACCACAGGCAGCAGTTCTGAACATACCACTGAAGAACCTCAGACAACTGCTACTGAGTCTGAAGCCCAGAGCTCAAGTCAGCTTCAGCCTAATGGACTACAGAATGTGCAGGATCAGTCAAGTTCACTTCAGCAGGTGCAAATTGTAGGTCAGCCTATTCTGCAACAAATACAGATCCAACAGCCTCAGCAGCAAATTATTCAGGCCATTTCACCACAGTCATTTCAGCTCCAGTCAGGGCAAACTATTCAGACCATCCAACAGCAGCCTTTGCAAAATGTTCAGTTGCAAGCAGTGAGTCCTACTCAGGTGCTCATCAGGGCTCCAACTTTAACACCATCAGGGCAAATCAGCTGGCAAACTGTGCAGGTTCAGAATCTACAAAGCCTTTCAAATTTGCAAGTTCAAAATGCTGGGTTACCCCAACAATTAACCATTACCCCAGTGTCTTCGAGTGGTGGCACAACTATTGCCCAAATTGCCCCAGTGGCTGTTGCTGGTACTCCAATCACACTGAACGCTGCGCAGCTTGCTTCAGTGCCTAACCTTCAGACAGTAAGTGTTGCCAACTTGAGTGCAGCAGGTGTTCAAGTTCAAGGAGTTCCTGTTACCATAACAAGTGTTGCAGGTGAGTGCCCCGCGGCACAACTTTCATACGTTTATTTTAACAGTATGGGGGCAAGGAGGCTTTTGCCAGTATTTCTAAATTTAAGTGTCAGATCATTAAAAAGAAATAAAAATGAATGTGAATTTTCATCATGCTTTGGTGATGGGTATATCCAGGTTTCTGTTTGTAACCTTTTTTAAATATGGAACTTAATAAATTAATTTCAGCATTTATGTGTCATTTGAAGTTGAAATTGAAATATGTTAGTATGCTAGGAAAAAGGGACCATTTACTGACTGTTTTCTAAAGGTATTGCTTGTTTGTTACAGGGGGAGGGGACATTCTTTGGTGTGTGAAGACTCTAGTAGGAGCTTCACCAACTACCAAAACCATCTTCAGTTTATCCTGTTGGAAAGCATTGAACTTTCTTGTACTGAAAATTGCTAGTTACTGTTCTTGATTGGGTCGGGTGAGAAAACAGCAAGCAAACTAAATTGATCTTCTGTTGTGTCTGTATTCTTCAATATCAGTTGTATGTGATTTTTTTTTTTTTTTGGTCTCTTATTAAATTTGACTTACATGCTACTTCTGTGAGCTGCTCTTCCTGCAGTTAAGGTTTCACAAATACACCATATAAAATATGGCACTTTGAATCTGTTCGCATACATAAGCATTATTCACCTACTTTGTTTAAAAATACCTCTCAACTGTGGTTCAGTATCTACTAATAGAATGTATGATTTACCATGTAAGAGTTCAGCAGTGGTTTTTTTTGAAGGTTTGGGAAGAACTGCTTAAGGACCTTTTGATGGTGAATAAGAACTTTGAATAAATATATTTTTAAAGTCCTGCTGTATCTTTGGAACCCCACACTGTCACACTATGTAAGAAACGTAACTTAAATGCTTAACTTCTGACGCAATATTTCATCACTTTTTAAGAAAAGGCCTAAGTTGGGGCTTCTTTAGTTACTTGGTAGTAGAAAGTAGAAAAATTTTCAGTGTAGATTTGAGTCTACTCTGTGCCACAGTAGTTGTTAACTACATTGGCAAACCCTCCCAGGTTCTAAATACAACTCACCGGCTACAACATGCAGAGTTTTGCTGGCTGACTGGTCCTGCATCAGTCCTCTGGCCTATGGAGCCGGAGAAGTTGAGCACCACTGTATTATAACTTTAATAACGAGTTTATGATGAGTAACTTTATTTGTATATTTTTTTGTGGAATATTAATGTGTCTTGCAAAAAAGTAGTGATTGGCTGCCTGTGGTGTCTAGTCTCAGTAGGCAAAGTTGAAATCTTAACCTTTGCTCTTAAATTGTTTGATAATCACAAATAATAATGCTATCTGGAGATGGGCTGTATAGTCTATTGTAACAGCTGGAATAGTTAGTCTCTTGTAGTAGAGGAGTTCAGTGACTGCACCTGAAGAAGTTACTGTGACATGAGACTCCTGTTGGTGTTGTTCTAGTATGGGGGGGAGGGGGAAGACTTTTTCTATATGTTCTCCCTAACCGTTTCATTTGCCTATGCAGCATAGATAGGAATTTGACTAAAAGGGTAATATTCTAAGTACTTTTCTTTTGCCCATGCAACTACATGTGACCTTACCAGTTTCTCTTACTCTTGCACTCGTGCTCTCTCTTTCTCTCTCCTAGGCTTATAAAAGGAAAAAATAATGGCAGGCTGTAAAGCAGATCAAGACTCTGGCTGCTTGTCCTTTCCACCAAAAACATTGCCACATAAAATGCCACACTGGCTTAACCTTGTCTGTTTTTCAAAGTTGTACTACAGAGCTTTATTGACTAAGGATATGAAAAGATTGCACTCTATGGGTTGATGCTGCTGTGCTGGCAATATGGATCCAGTCCTGCCAGCAAAAAGCAGGTTATGGTACCTGGGATAGCTGGTGTAGTTCTAATGACAGAAAAACTTCTGCTGGCGGAACTGCATCCACACCAGCGTGCTTGGCCACCTTGCTGCTGCATTGAAACTGTCAGCAACCTTCATAGCCTGAGCCTTATGAAGGGAGGTAAAATTTTATTTGAGTCTCTTTATGCTCTGAGTATCTACTTATACTTATTTCTTCAGTAGCATATTCATTTCTGAAGGAGTTAATTTTGAATTTACTTGTGCATTGATGCTGAAAATCTTAAAACATTCAGATTACTGTTTGTTAGGAGAGTCCTTAGTCTGCTAATTTTACTATGATTTGTTATCTTATATAGAATTTAAATTGGGGTTTTCTGACTTGATAAGGATTTTACCCTGTTTCCCTGTGCCCTGGAGTCCGTCCTGTTTTATAAGTTAGTTTTTTCCTAGCACTATGTATTATCATTACACACTGATAATATATTTTAGTTACTACAAATTTGATGCTGGAGTAGGATGGTCCATGTAATTACAATTTTTAATCTTAAATGTAGTTTTAGATGTTGTTTACATTTTACTAAATTTTGGTGTTTCTGAAATTAGTTAAAATAATCTAGCAAAATCTAGGCTGTAGAATTGAACCATTCTAAATATCTGTATTCCCTTGTTATAGATCCAGGAGCATAGAATTGCTTTTCTTTTAGAGATTGTTCTCAGGTAGTGCAAAATGTGACAATGTTGCTTTCCAAATTCTGTTTTGGCCTATGGCCCTATCTAAATTGTCTATTTAAGGAAGTATTAATGTACAGTTTACTAGCCTGTTAACCGTTACGTACACGTGTGTGTGTGTGTGTGTGTGTGTGTGTGTGTGTGTGTGTGTGTGTGTGTGTGTGTGTGTGTGTGTGTGTGTGTG